TCCTCATGGCAGATCTCTACTGCTATTATGTCAACCTCTCAAGGATTGGCAATCATTATCTCTTTTACCTTAAGGTGTTCTTTCACCAGCACAGCAATGCCACCGCCTTTCCTAATTTTTCTGTCCCGTCTCCAAACTGAGTAGCCTCTTGGGAATATGACTTCATTTAAAATAACATCTTCAAGTTTTATCTCCGTGAGTGCAACAATGTCTGGTGTCTGCAGTTGTATTACATCACTTAACTCCGGTATCTTTGATCTCACTCCATCTACATTGGTGTATACAATTTTCAGGAACATGTTCCCCCCTCTCCTTATTCTTCACTACCCCTCTCTCTAGCAATTTTGTTGGTTTGCCTTTTTGTACCATTTTACTGGCCTGCCTACCACTATCCCTTTGTAGAGAAAAGAATTTATTTCTTCTTCGTTTCTGCTCTTATTTAGACGCTTTGCCTCTACGAGGTTCAGTTTCAGCTTCTCTCTGTCTTCTTTTGAAAGATCTCGTCTTAATGACCACACTTTTCCATCCTCATCACTTTGTAATTTTCTAGAATTCCTTAGTACTTCTTCCATCTGTTTGGCATCGTTTAGGGTGATCCTCAGAGGTCGATCTTTCCCTTTTACGTACCTGCCTATTCTCCTGTTGTCGCACACATTCTCTATGGTAGTAAGAAGTATCAAATTCCCCACCCTCCAAATATCAAATTTGGAGGAGGGTGAACTGATAATTTCCACGAGGCCAACAATTTTATCTACTATTTTCGCTTCTTCTACAGCTCTTTCTGACCTAGATGTTATCTTCTTTTTCTTTTGCAAGCAAAAATTTTATCAGGGGCTTACTCCGATCAACTGTGTTTTGCACCAACTTCGAGTTAGATGCCAATTCCTTTCTCACTTCCAGCCTAATGTTTGTTTTATCCTGGTTGCTGTAGTGTTTGGCTTCCTTTACTGCTTCTTCAATTTTTTCCTTTTCCTTGGCCACTTGTGCATAGGTGAGTTGCATATCTTTCTTGCACTGTTCTATTCCCTGTGTAACTTCCTCCATCTATACTAACAAAAGCTGTTTTTCCTGTTGAATTTCCTTACCTATTGTAGTCATTTATGTTTAGATTTGCTTTAACTTCTTCCAAAGCTATTTTTAAGAGTTTGTTTTCCTCTTCCATGGCTTTGCAATTTGTTTCCAATTGATTCTTGTTCTTGCACAAGTCTTTCACTAACCCCTCACGACCTAAAACTTTGCTATTCAAATGGTCATTACTTTTTTCAATTTACTGATTATTTCTACATTTGAGTTCACTATAATATCTAATTTTGCCAACTTGTTTTGTAGACTGCTTATATCAATGCTTTCTTCATTGAATCCCCCAAAATCAAGCTCTGTTTTGTTTTTCCTTTTTCCGGCAGCCATCTTGAATGTTGTTGTCTGCACTGTAACACTAGGGCAACTTTTTCTCATCTAATTTTTTCACTTCCCTTAGCACATTCGTGTTATCTCACCTATTTTTCAAAAGCACTACACAATTATGTTCCTTGAGACACCACTCACTATCATCAACTTGTGCTACAATACAGTGGCACCTCAACTTACGATAGCCCCTACTTACGATAATTTCGAGTTACGATGTAAATTTCATCGAAAAATGCAACTCGACATCCGATGGTGTCGTCGACTTCCGATATTTGTTGGTACACGTTCGTGTCGACCGAGCACGTGGTTCCCAGTCACGCGATCCGACCTGCCTCAATTTACTTCAGCTGCCCGCTTAGTGACGATCGCTCTATAAGAAATTCCGCATTTGTGGTGATTTTTTGCATTTTGAACATTAAAATAATTATTATATACCACACCATGAGTCCCAGGAAAGTCAGTGGTATCTGACTGAGAATAGCAGAAACAAGAGTACAGAATGTTTCTTCCTCAACAATTAAGAAAATGTGTGCAGCACGGGAAGAATTGCAAACCTTTGCTGAAACGACTCACCCAAACCAAGCTGCAGTAGGTCGTTGCCTTAATCTATTCAATGACACTGTGATGCATCATTACAGACAAATGTTAAAACGAAGGGAAAAACAAATGTCTCTTGACAAATTTGTAGTGAGACAAACAAGCACTGAACCACAACCAGGTCCTAGTGGTGTTCAGGCAAACGTAGGAGAGAGAGAGTACCCCAGAGAAAACATCACTGCCTGATGTGATAATGGAAGGGGACTCCCCTTCCAAAGAGGAACAACTCTCCTCCTCCCCCCTCATCACCATCTTCCGTACTCCATCAAGAGCTCTCCATAAAGGTAAGATCAACTTAGGTACTGTATTGTAGTTAGAAAAAAACATTGTATTCAGTATAAAATGTATTTGTATGTTAATATTTTGGAGGGTGGGGAACTGATTAATTCAATTCCCTTTATTTCTTATGGGAAAAATCGCTTCGACTTACGATATTTCGAGTTACGATCCGTCTCTGGGAACGGATTAGCTTCGTAAGTCGAGGCCCCATTGTACTTAGGTTTGTTGAAATATGCTGCAGCTCCTCCATATGGAATATGCATAATATGAAATATGCTCCATATGCTGGAGCATATGGAGAAATATGTGGTCTTTGTATGATGCATGATGGTGGACGTACAGCCTTTTGTACATAGTGTATAGTCGCCCTTGTTGTTTTTCTAAAGTAACGTAAATATTAAGTTTGTTTATTTTTGTAAGCCAAGTTTTAAGAAATTATTATCTTATGTTGATTATAAATAAAGAATGAAATTATTTGTGTTTGTTTACTCTTGCAACTATCACACCACAAAGGACTTTAGCAGTTATATTTACTTTGTTTTACTTTTTTTTATTTAATGTGCGTAAGGCAAACTACAGCTGCCAGGTATTTGCTGCGCTACCTACAACACGTCACAAATTTATATAATTTTATATAATATATTTGTTAAAATACAAGTTGTTGTTCACGAATTACATGACGACTCCATCTATAGGATCATTTGTATTCAAATTTACATACTCTGTCCAAACAAAATTAAAATATTACAAAAATATATTACTGCAAAAATGTTACTTTTCTTTCTTCTTTAAGTTTCATGGATCACCTTTTTCGTCTTCGCAATACATGCAGTTTGCATGAAGGTTTTCCCCTCCCGATGACTGCGCAAGTGGTAATGTTGAAAGATGTGGCACTTACACTTGGCATATCAATGTTCATAATTTGGCAGATATTGAACGTTATCAATGTCTTCCATTTGTGTGAGGATAGTGACAAAAATAAGCATGAGTGGAACTTGACTCAGGACAGCAAGGGTGAGTTGTGTTGATGGTAACAAAGTGTTGCTGTGCTATTTATTTATTTATTTATTTATTTATTTATTTATTTATTTATTTATTTATTTATTTATATACTAGAAGGTACATTGGGGGTTAAGAGAGAACATAGAAATGATGTTGATTTTACAATCTTGTAAAGCCATTAGCACGCATAGCGTTTCGGGCAAGTCCTTAAACTAACAGATAATTTTAAGTAGATAATTTATAGTAGAATTGACAACAAATGTTTATAGATACTTTACAGCTTTACTTTACAGGCACAGGTAATTTTAAGTAGAAAAATTACAGTAAAATTGACAAAAAATGTTTACAGGTCAACAAAAATAAAGATTAGAATAATACAATAATAACAAAACACTATAGTGAACAAGGATTACTAGGTACATTAGGATACATTAGAATAAAATATCAGGGTTATACATTGGTTCACCATAGCACAATTTGAGGATCATTTCAAGGAATAATGGAATAGAATATGCACTCAATATAACAACCATGATATCAGATGATATCAAAGATTACAATGGTAGAGTAATATGGTTTAGGCACATATATTGGGGGGATTTGGTAGCACTAGATACAGTGCAAGTTAAAGCACTAGGTAGGAAACTATGAAGATGAAATTACGTACTTTTTGGTTTTATTTTTGAATAAGGAAAAAGTTGGACAGTTTTTCAATTCATTAGGGAGTGAGTTCCATAGACTAAGTCCCTTTATTTGCATAGAGTGTTTACACAGATTAAGTTTGCCTCTGGGGATATCAAAGAGATATTTATGTCTGGTGTGGTGAGTATGAGTTCTATTACATCTGTCAGGAAAGTTTCAGAACAGGGTTTGCACTTAAGAAAAGGGTTTTATAGATGTAATTGACACAAAAGAATGTATAGAGTGAATTTATGTTTAGTTTAGGGAGCCGGTCGGCCGAGCGGACAGCACGCGGGTCTTGTGATCCTGTGGTCCTGGGTTCGATCCCAGGCGCCGGCGAGAAACAATGGGCAGAGTTTCTTTCACCCTATGCCCCTGTTACCTAGCAGTAAAATAGGTACCTGGGTGTTAGTCAGCTGTCACGGGCTGCTTCCTGGGGGTGGAGGCCTGGTCGAGGACCGGGCCGCGGGGACACTAAAGCCCCGAAATCATCTCAAGATAACCTCAAGATAACCTCCCCCTTAGTATGTTTAGGGATTTAAACAGGGGAGCTGCGTGTTGTCTGGAAGCAGAGATTGTTATTGTCCTGATAGCAGATTTTTGTTGGGTGATGATGGGCTTGAGGTAGTTTGCAGAGGTTGAGCCCCATGCACAGATACTATAAGTAAGACAGGGATAGATAAGTGCATAATAGAGTGAGGGGAGAGCAGAGTAGGGTACATAATATCTGATCTTAGAGAGTATACCAACTGTTGGAAACTATGGAACTATGGAAAGTGTGCGGTTTAGTCAAGAGACTGGAGTTAGTAAGTCAAAGTATGTTTGGGAGCTAGTTGCAGTTCAGAAAAAGTTAGGGCAGATTAGGGTAGGGTAGGTTAGATTGTTTAGTAATGTGGGGTTAGTGTGTATAGGGTTATGATTTGTTGGAGAAGGTTTTTTGAGATATATACAAGAGTTGTTACATTCTTGTACAATTAATTAAAAAGGTTAATTAAAGATAAGGTAGGTTAGGTTGTCGTAATGCGGATCTTTACGTCTGAGATGTAATTGCACGTCTTCCTTCACATGCCAGTAGTACAGCGTGTTGAATATCTGGGAGAGGTTGGAGGATGTCTCGTCCCTTCAAGATGTTGTGTTGATTTAGGGGCGACGACGATCGTGGACAGCGACGACTCGAGTGTTGTTGTTGTTGTAAACCGGTCGTTTATGCTCCCGTCACCAGCCTCATTTTCTTTGGTATACGGTATTTTACCAGATTATTTCTAATATTTGAGTTAAAGTTTTCCAGTTTTGTGGTTGAGTGAATTTACTGAATTTAGTTTTAACGATTAAACATTTGTTAATTATTCTTCCTCATGCTTGGTCCCTTTTATATTATTCTGTCTATTTTGTTTTTACAATTTGCCAACATGTCTTATTTTACTAGCAAAATTAGGTATACACAGCAATGTGCTGCTACCCTATTCTATATGAGATATTACAGAGTGTAAATCAAGAACTAGCTATACGTTCAACTATTATTCCCATCTCACAGGATGGTTAGTCATACATGGAATTAGAGGAGATAAATACCTGCCTTAATACAAAACAAACCAACTCAAATTCAATTTCAAATTCAAATGTTTATTCAGGTAAAGTACATACATACAAGGGGTGATACAAATATAGTTGAATTTATAGATAGAGCTAGTACATACAATGCTTTGACGAACTTTGACTAAACTGAACAACTGGGTATAAGTTTATCCAATATTCCCATCTCACAGGATGGTTAGTCACACACGGAATCAGAGCGGAAAATACCAGCCTCAATATAAAAACAAATGAACTCTAACTACAAATCAGGTGTGAACATAATATGTAAGGCTGATATATTAGCCTTCACTAGCAAAATCTGGGTACAGCACGAGAATATCTTCTAATATTCCTGAGTGTTTGAAGTAAACACTATGCAAATAAAGGGACCCAGTCTATGGAACTCACTCCCTATTGAATTGAAAAGCCGTCCAACTTTTGCGTCATTCAAAAACAATACTAAAAAGTACCTAATTTCATCTTCATAGTTTTGTAGCGAATAAACTTATACTCGCTCCATTATCTCATCATCTTAATGGCATAACTAAATACAAAAGCTATAATCCTATCCCTATTTACAGGTAACGAGTTTTCCACCCTCCTATCTTACTGTGGGATGTAGTAACCGTATATAAGCCAGTGATTTGAGAATAGCAATACGGGAGGCATCTCCCGTCACGCAGGGTGCAGTTGCGCCTCCACAGATCTCCAGTATCATCTTTTGATACTGGTAATGGCTCGAAAGGGCCACCACTTACGGGCTATTCATGCTCGTGCCACCTCTTGGGTGGCTTAATCTTCATCAATCAATCAGAATAGCAAACCAGTACAATCTCCAGTCAAGAATGTAGTACTCGGTGTAGGCAGTTCTAATCGACCCAAGACGCTACAGCTTCGACACAGAGCAGACAGCAGACTACGACCTCATCCACCTACAACGCTCTCCCGCGTAGAGCTCCGCGACTCCGGCCACACTCAGCTCTCTGCTCTGCTCCAGGCTTCGTCTCAACGTCTACGACACTGCTGTATCCAGGACTACTACACTGCTGTATCCAGGACTACGACACTGCTGTATCCAGGACTACGACACTGCTGTATCCAGGACTACGACACTGCTGTATCCAGGACTACGACACTGCTGTATCCAGGACTACGACACTGCTGTATCCAGGACTATCCAGGACACTGCTGTATCCAGGACTACGACACTGCTGTATCCAGGACTACGACACTGCTGTATCCAGGACTACTACACTGCTGTATCCAGGACTACGACACTGCTGTATCCAGGACTACCAAATAAATATGAAACTCACTAAACACTGTGTATCTAATCAACTCAACAACGTAACATAATCATACGTTATAGTTTTTTACCTTCTGCTTTAAAATTGCACTGTATCTATTGCTACCCAATTTCCCAATCTTTATGTACCCAATAAGAACATCTTTATCATTGTGATCATTGCTGTCTTCTTATATGTGCTGTCAATCTGCTGTATGGTGTCTATTAATCTTGTTTAAATTACCAATCAAGCTGTCAATATAATCAATCAGAGCTTTAATTTGCCAATGTGCTTTAATATACTTACTAATCTCTCGCATCTTATTTTTTTTCTTGCAATGTATTTGTTATCATTTTATTAATTCTGATAGAATTTACCTACTTAAAATTATCTGTTAGATTAAGGACCTGCCCGAAACGCTGCGCGTACTAGTGGCTTTACAAGACTGTAAATACTGTGCTATGTATTCTCACAAACCCAATGTACCTTCTTGTATATAAATAAATGAATATGTAAATAAATAAGTAAGTAATTACAGAGCTCAAAGTGCCTCATACCATTAGGTCTGAAGGTCTGAAGGTCTGAAGGTCTTCCTTCCTTCCTTCCTTCCTTCCTTCCTTCCTTCCTGAAGGAAGGAAGGAAGATTAGGTCTGAAGGTCTGAAGGTCATTAGGTCTTTTCATGCCCGAAACGCTTTGCGTAATAGTGGCTTTAGGCATTGTATGTACTAGCTCTACCTATAAGTCTACCAATCCTTGTAAAAATTTATTGTATGTATGTACCTTACCTAAATAAAATTGTATTGTATTGTTGTATTGTACTTATAACAGGGCAATCACAGATAGTGTTTTAATGTCCCATCACTTGTTCACATAGTTTACAGTTGGGTATTAGGTATTGTATGTACTAGCTCTTTCTGTAAATCCAACACTATGTTTGTAACTTATCTTCTATGTATGTACATTTACCTGAATAAAAATTTGAATTTGAAATGTTCACCATTGAGGGATTCATTACCTGCAGCCACCTGCCATAGATATCAATATCCCAGCTAAATTCTGGCAATTACAGTATCACACTGTCTAGTGGATGTTTTATGCTGCCCGTATATATAATTGTAGGTTCTAAACAAGTCATAGGACTTTATACTCGTGCTTTCTGGCCTTTGTGTGTCAGTGACTCTCATCTGTCTTCCATAATAATAATAATAATAATAATAATAATAATAATAATAATATTTTATTTAGGTAAGGTACATACATACAATAAATTTTTACAAAGATTGGTTGACTTATAGGTAGAGCTAGTACATACAATGCCTAAAGCCACTATATATTACGCAAAGCGTTTCGGGCATGATAAACTTAAATGACAAGCTTAATACTAATTGAGCATAATGAGTAGATGAAAACAAGAAATGAAAACATAGATGAAAAAGCAGCACAAATACAATTATGTCGACAAACAGCGCTCTTTAAAGAAAAAACACAGACATTGGTTGACAATAGAAGGGTAAGGTAGGTTACAGGGAATTTATTAGGTATAGCTTCGCTTTTAACTTAAACTGGTTGAGAGAGGTACAGTCTTTAACATGGTTGGGAAGGTCATTCCACATTCTGGGCCCCTTGATTTGTAGAGCATTTCTAGTTTGATTAAGTCGTACTCTAGGAATATCAAAACTGTATTTATTTCTGGTGTGGTGCTCATGGGTTCTGTTACAACCTTCTATGAAGCTTTTGAGATCAGGATTGGCATTATAGTTTAGCGTTTTATATATGTATAATACACATGAGAGAATGTGCAGTGACTTAATGTCTAACATATTCAGAGATTTAAGTAGGGGTACCGAGTGGTGTCTGGGGCCAGAGTAATATCTCCATTGTTCAAACAATTATGTATTAGCGATAAGACCTACCATTAAATATATTGAGTAAGATAATTTATGCAGTCTCCGTGGTGTAGTGGTAAGACACTCGCCTGGCGTTCCGCGAGCGCTATGTCATGGGTTCGTATCCTGGCCGGGGAGGATTTACTGGGCGCAATTCCTTAACTGTAGCCTCTGTTTAACGCAACAGTAAAATGTGTACTTGGATGAAAAAACGATTCTTCGCGGCAGGGGATCGTATTCCAGGGACCATAGGATTAAGGACTTGCCCGAAACGCTACGCGTACTAGTGGCTGTACAAGAATGTAACAACTCTTGTATATATCTCAAAAAAATTAATGTATCATGACATACTGTAAATATATAGCTCATGAAATAGAATATTCTCTGTAACTAGCTGACATTGTAACTATAAGGTGTGAAGGATACATGAAATTGTTTATGTAATAATTTAAGATGAGGTCTGATAAAGACCTTTTGTGCCCTCTGTAATGCTTTTTGCGCTACCGCTCACAGGATGAGTATGGGGTGCACAATAAACTAGCCGCCTCCGGCGGCAACAATCAAGATAAAAATGCAAGACACACGCGCCTCTTCTCACCACCAAATTCAACTCTCATTGCCCTTTACGTCAATATAATAATAATAATAATATATACGATGTCCACCTAATTACAAAACGTATTATCTAAACAGGAGGGTGGGCTGTAACAAGGTAATACCAACCACGTACATCTTTACAGCAAATATGAACATTGCTTGCAAAAAGCGATGAAGTTTCTGTGGGAGGGAAATGCATGAATATCGTTTGGCGTTTTTGGACTGAAAAAAACAGTCCATCGGACACCATAAAGATCATTGGTACTATTGCGAACGTGTCAAAGAACTCAACCATAGACTCAACAGAACAAGAAAGCTATACAAAAAGCAGCCAAGTGACCGCAACAGGATCTTACTTTGTGAGGTCAAGGAACATGTGCATCAAGAGACCAGGATAATAAAATAACAAAAGTGGCTGGAATGGTGTTCACACCTGAATGAACACACCTCTCTCGGAGAGATGTGGCAGCAAATTCACCGAGCCAAAGGGAATAAAACACCTAAAGCTCCACACCCCAAGGATCCTCAACAGGAAGCCGAAGTACTGGCAACCAGGTTTGCAGAGAGAGCAATCAGCTTCCACCAGATGTATTAGCAGTGCAGGCAGGATTAGAGGAAGAAAGATGGCACAGAATCCTTACAGCATGTGCAGAAGTCTCTGACACTAATGTCCCCTTCACACTGGATGAGCTCAATCGGGCTAAGAAATAGCCACTGCTTTTTTCAAAAGTGGTGGGTTTTCTGTGAGAAGAAAACGTATGTTTAAGAGTTTACCTGAATAGACATTTGAATTTTTTGAATTTGAGTAGCGTCTAACCATCTAAGCTGCACGCTCAACGAGCAGGGGTTATATTAAGGCAAGCCCG